TTTTAAACAAAAATGAAAATAAAGTTTAATAGAAGAGCTCCATGAACTTCCATATCCATATATTCTAATTAAAGTTGAAGGAGCTAAACTTTTTTAAAAAACAATTCCATAACAAGGTTAATTTAGTAGGAAATGCTTTCTAAGGTAATTTCACAATGTGTCAACCAAACAATAAAACCTTACATCCTAGACAAATTAACCAAACATGGTAATTTAACATATCCCTGTAGTGCTAAGTAATACTCGGTGAACCATACACCCCTTAGAGTAAGCTTTAAGAGAATAAATGACATTAGCTGAAGGAAAGTATCTCTGGATGAACACCCAGTCGATTTCTTCGCCAACTATCCTGAATAGATTCCTAACCATAAGAACCATACAAATTCTTCACTTAGGTTTTACAAAAGCTTCTATATTAATGACCAAAATGCCAAGTAATAACTAATAACTATACCTTAAAGCTTTTGAGCTATCAGTTTTCTCATGACCCCGTTTTCATAATTAAGTGGAACTTTAAGTTCAGTTAGAAAGCTTCATTTATATTTACCTCGATTCATATCGTATCGATTAATAAACGAACCAACCAGCATACTATTTACCTAAGAAAAAAATAGCAATAAAGGACATTTTCAATCACATAAATACAAAAAACCTAAAACAGTATAAATAACACTAACCTGACAGTACCAGCCGCTCCTTCCGGCGAAACCCTCACCGTAGGCGACGAGGGTTGCAAGGGGACGGCCGAATTTGAAGCTCCACTGGTCGATTTTCTGGCTCTCCATTTCACGAAATTAGAGAAAACCGCGCGGAAAACGGATAGAGCGGTGAAGGCGAGCCAGAGACGGCGAGAACCGAACCCGGGAGGAGTAGTGAAAGCGAGCCAAGACGGCGGGCACCGAAACCAGAAGGAGCGGTCCAAATGAACCGGAACTTAGACCGGAGACCTAGAAAAACCAAGCTGGTCCACCTAGGCCGCCAAGACCAGCCGATGACGAGCCCGATCATCACGGCGAGCCATATAGGCACCGCGCATAGCAAAATGTCTACGAATGTTTCGGTTATCGTAGGTTTCTTCAAAAACTCCATTAGATCGAAGAGCGTTTCATCCATTGCGACGTGAGAGAATAAAAAAATGGACTTTTAAAAAAAAATTGGATCGGCGAGATAATGGAGATCGATCAGCCAGCCTTAACCGACGATTCATCGGAGGACATCATTTTTTTTTCAGAGCAGAGGACGAAAACATTCACGTTTTTTGTTTTTCATTATTTTCCTTTCACTTTTAAAAGATCAAAAAATTGTTAAGTGTAGGGTTGAAAAACGATTAAGCAAAGTCAAAAATTATTATTAAAAGATTTATCCATTAAAATTAGATTTGTGAAATTAATCAGTTCTAATCAATCAAAATGAAATCTTAAAATAAGGAGGATAACAAAAATAAAATAAAATAAAAATGGTAGGTTTGGTGAAAGTGGAACCACATGTGTTGTTGCTTTAATTTCAATATGATAATTAATTTAATATACGTTAGATTTTGTCAAATATTTTATATATAAAATATATATCTATGATATTTAATAAATAAATAGTTTATATTTAAATATACCAAGGGTAGACTACATATATATATATATATAGTGACTGAATTATTATTTTAATTTCATTTTGATTATATAATTATAATTTTTCAAAATAATCACATCACTTATGTTTCGTTTTGGTTACTCGTCATTAAATAAATAGAACCATTGATATGATAAATTTTTATTTTTTCAATTGTGGCGTGACATCATTTTATGGTGACACGTCAATAACATCGTTAAGTTTTTAAAGATTGGTGACCAAAATGAAACTAAAACATAATATTAGTGATGATTTACAGTTGGAGGTCGAATCATGTGAGATATTATTATTATGGGTACACTACACATTACTCACTAAATTTTACTCTCTTTTTTATTTCACTCGTCGTACTTTTAAGTTTTTCAATTTGCTCATTAAACTTTAAACATTGAATTTTTTTACTCACTTATTGATGATATGAATTATTTTATTATTTTTTCATATTACATGTCATATTTTTATTAATTTTTTAATATTTATTTAGGATTGTAATAAATAAATAAATTTAAAAAATATTAAACTATACCCCAAAACCTAAAACTAAAATTCTCACCCCTCACATTCATGTTTCAACTACAGCAGTGGGTTAGAGCCGTCGATGGCGGTTGTTGCAGTGGTCTTCGGTGGCCATTGAGCCTCAAATTTTCCATTCCAAACATTTTTTACCTCATGAACACGAATCTACCCTTAGTTTCATCGAAAAATGCCCTGATGTTAACGAAATTGTATTGAAATAATCTGACTTCCCTCTCTTTGATATCCATTGACTGTCGTTGGATGGAGCTCAAATGGAGATATGTTAGTCCCTTCGTCATAGCGTCACTTCTCACCGTTCGAATCTGTCATCCGATCACCGGATCTGTCCCATTTGAAAACCCGAAGGTAAAGGTCTTTATTCTTCCTTTTTTGATTTCTTTGCCCTTTTTTCTAAAAATTTTTGGCAACATTGCCGTGGTTGCTATCATTTGTGTTGATTGGTTGCTATCATTTGTTTGCTTGATTTGGATATGTTTTTAGGGGTTGTCATGGTTGTGTTGATTGGTTGCTATCATTTTTAAGGGATGCCATGGTTGAGGGTCGTGAGAGATGAATAAGAGAGTGAAGAGCATAGGTGACCATTCACCGGTGGAAGGATGATCGTCGGTGGAAAGGTGAAATTGTCAAGGGTGATGGTGGGTGGTGTTGTAATTTGGGGTTTAGAATTTAGGATAATTTAAGGGTATAATTGTAATTTTCAAATTTATTTTTATTTTATTCATATTTGGTATTAAAAATATTAATAAAACATGAAACATCATATGAGAAAAATAATAAAAAAATCCACATCATCTTAGAATGAGCAAAAAAATTCAATGTGTAAAATTTAGTGAGCAAATTAAAAAAATTAAAAGTACAGTGAGTGAAATAGGAGAGAAAGTAAAGTTCAATTAGTAAGAGTGTAATTTACTCTATTATTATTATAAATTTTTACACTGCTTCGGGATGTAGGTGGTACTTCAGCCAATCACAATTTATCACGTATGAATGTTCATAAAATTATTTAGGGAAAATTGTTTAATTCGTCACTCAACTTTATTTATACTCCTGTTTTGGTCACTTAAACAAACAATTTTCTTCTCCGACGATGCTTCTTATCAAACCACCATGTTGGCAATGATGAAACTGCTTCTAGCAGCAAAAGGCAGTGTGCAAATCACCATTTTCAAACCTTTATTTGTTTTCCCCATGGCATGAATTTTAGAAGAAAAGTGGCTTCATTGGATGCAAATGACGAGTGGCGAAGCACGTACCCATCGTGAAATCTGATTTTTATTCGATTACATGTATATCCTGAAATTTTTAATGTCAACCCTGAAATCTAATTTTTTTTCGATTTATTACTTATTTTACGGAAGATGCCCATCCTAAAATTTTATTTGTACTATCTCGTTTAAAAATTATGTGTTTTTAACATATGTGTGACCACCTTAAAAAAATATTTCTGGATCTCTCACCTCAAATGAGCATGGTTTTTCCCTTGATTTTATGATTGAAATCACCATAGCTGCAGACCATCCTAAAATGAACCCACCCCCAAAGGTCATTCATCATTCATTCACTCAATGAATTGTGTTTCTCGTTCACAAATCTTTTACTGTTTGTTTTCTTTCTTATTGACTATGATTTCTAAAACTGACGAGGGTTCAAGAGAAGGTGGTGTCAGTGGGAGATGTTCAGGGTTTGGGGGGAGAGAGAGGCCGCTCCATTAGTATGATATCTCATATAATATCAAAAATTAGAGTTCATAATTTGAAAAATCTGTTAACTTAAAATTAATAGTTTCTTTATGCACGTGTGAAGATAATTTAGTGAAGAAAAAGATTTTATATGTTTGAAATTTTTAATTTTGCAAAACAATTACAATAGGATAAATTTTGATATTTTATAATTTCGTCTTATTATAAAATCGGTTAAGAGTATCATTTTAAAAAGTAATATAGGATTTTCACATCTTTTAGGAATGATCTGAAGTACAATTTCGTCTTATTATAAAATATGTTAGGATCCTCATTTTAGAAAATAACACAAAATCTCTACATCTTTTGGGACGGATCTAAAGAGAGAGATACCAATGAAGTTTTGGGGAGGGAGACAACGAGAATGAGGGTATGAACTTGAGTTTGAAGTTTGGAGTTTAAGATTTGAGATTTAAGATCAAAACTAATGAGTTGGGGTTTGAGATTTTGGAATTAAAATTTGGGGTAAAACTTAACAATTTTTTAAAATCCTACATGGATTTTTATTTTATATCTTACATATCATAATTAAAATATTAATAAAAAAATCATATTATCATTATATATTAATAAAAATTAAATCACATCATCAACTGTTATTGAGAAAATAAAGGAGTGGTCAAAAAATTTTAATAGGTAAAATTCAGCTGTGAAATTGAAAATTCTAAAGCTTGAATAGTTAAAAATAGAATTGAAAAGAAAGATGAGTGATAAATTTAGTAATTTATCAAAAATTTCTCGATGGAATTTACGTCGTCCTGGGCGAATAAATTAAGAATCCATTAATCCAAAAAATTATTGTTATTATCGTGCTCGATTTTTTTTTAAAAAAAAAAACCTTTTTCAGGCTTTTTCTTTGCATATCATTTTCAACCTAACTTGCCATGTTTTGTATTAAGAATTCATCAAAACTCTAGTTAGGCTACACATTATCCGATCCAGATTAAGTAATTAATAGATCAGATACCGATAATTATACTAAAAAAATACTAAATTTTAAGAGTTCTCCATATCATTGAAAATGTATTCTCAAACATGATACAAAGTTAACTTTGAAAACAAAATGCAATTGTTCATGACAGAGCCATTTATTGAAATAATGTAGCCTTAAACTATAAAAACTATGTTACAACATATCAACTCAGAGACAACTTGGCCAAGGTTAAAGCTAATACCTTCACCCCATTTTCTATATCCTTAGGTGAAGCATATTCTTCAGGCTTATGGCTGTATCCTGCAAATAACAATGCATTTTAATATGTTCAATACAATTGCTCGAATGCAGTTCAAGAATCTAGGCAGTCCACGTACTACGGTTAAAAGGCGTGTTAATCGGACTTGAATGTGAGTGCCGAATACATGATATTATTAGGCGGATCTTACCTTTGTAACAGGGAATAAATATCATGCCCATCGGAGATATCCTGGAAAAATATAGAATTCAAATATCAGAATCTAATTACAGTATATAATCATGGTGGATATGAAATTGTGAATCCATTGACATGTTTTATACGTATTCATAGTAAAATCGTCCGTATTATGACTAATCCTTCAATCATGGCTTTTCCTTAAAACGGAAGCTAATACTCAGGTAAAGGTTCCAAATCTGGAATCGGTAGCTTTTCTTCTGTATGCAGACATTCATGCTAATCTCTACTTACAAGCTACTCGGGTTCAACTCCCAGAAAAAATAAATAAAAAAACTCGAACCTGGCTTTGAAATTATCAAGTCAAGCTCTAGCTATTGAGCAAGCCAAATTTTACTATCCTAATGTTTACTCGAATAGCTGGCATACCTAATCACACTATTTAATTAGTGTTGAAGAATATCAATTAGAGTTTAGCACAAAGAATCGAGCTTGAAGCCATGCGTGATAATAGAGTGAAGTTTGTTTCTAGGTAAACAAACTTACTAGAGCTAGCTTGAAAAGTTCAATTTTTATCTAGTACCAAATTCGAGCTCTAAGGGCGAAACCAGATCGAGTTGGAATTGTGCGCTTCAGTCCTTGAGTTCCGAGTTCAGCTTGAGTTCGACTTGACTTGTTTACACTCATGCCTAATGAGAATCCCGAAACCTTTCTGGGAGGACATGAATTCCCAAGAGCCATCTAAAGATAATATGGTCTAGTGAAATTGAGCAAGCCCAGTATTCAAAACAAATCAATATCTAGGGATGCTAAGATTGAATGTTCTCTCCAGTTATTCTCCTAAAATTTAAGATCTATAAGATATCAAAACAGCATGGTTTACATGTTCGAATAATTCTTCAAAGTGTCAGGAACTGGAACTTCGGCTCTGTGTTAAGCATATAGTTTTCAAGCTAGCAAAAGATTTAGTTGCTAAGTAACATCCCCTTACCTTGCCATAAACAGCGAGTCATGGTAAGCTCTGCTGACCATATACTTTCGCGTTAGCTTCAGCTCTTTAGATGCGGCTTCCGTTGCTTCGATTATTGATTTTTCAGAATGAGCTGGTGGGTCCTGATTTATGATCTTGAATTCTGATAAGGTGACATAGCGCTTTTTGGCAATTGCTTTTGCAGAATTATGGATTTTCTTAATAACAGCATTTCTACGGTCTTCATCAATATCTCGTACATCTAATAAGAAGCGAAAACATAATGGATTATCAGAAGAGTAATCTAGATACAGTCCAGATTGTTTAAAAGCCAGGTCAGACCTGATGCATATGAATTAGTAAATACAAATTAACAATGGTTCTATCTTATGTTACTTGGACTAGGGTGTATATACAACACACTGGCAAGCTACTAGGATTAAACTCAGAAAAAATTGAATTAGATCAAGTTATTATTACGCCGAGGTCAAGCTATAAGTATAGTGATATGATCATCTAAGGATTTTCTCCAAATACAATGAACTTTAAAAAAATGAGCATACACAGGTTTGACACAACCGAATCCGAGTAACATGGCATGATACATACCGATTTCAAGGTGTGCTTTACTAGGGATGCTGTTGATTGCTCCTGGGTGAAGCTCCAAAATCCCTGGTAAAACAATAGATAAGTTTAACAAAATCAGAAGCTTCATTTAGTGCAAAAGAATTTTTGTACAAGATCGAACAACCAAAGCATGAAAATATTATCGTCGTACTTACCTACTGTACCAACAGTATCAATTGATCCAGAACCCATTACATGATTCTCAACAGCTAGCATCAGCTCAGCAGCTGCCAGTCCAGCATCATTTCTGCGCTTAATGGTATATTTACAGATTATGGATATTTTCGATTTGATAAGAATTATAGAAAAAAGTATAACACGGATGATCTAACAAAATCCAAATCTATATATACCAAATTACTCGTACACATGAATATAAATATATATATGAAATATGCTTTAACAATCAGAATCAATGAAATGCAAAAGCTGCAAGTTTATAAGAATGTCACTCTATGTTACTTGGACTAAGTGTCTAATCTGGGTATGTTCAATTTTTCCCCAAGTTTTTCCATGTATTTAAAAGGTTCTTGAAGGGTCATACTAATTCCTAATATGTGTCAGACACTGTATTTCAAAGGCCTTTTAATATTCGGAGCAGTATAAATGTCAGTATTGATAATATTCACCTGTCTGGCATCAAGACGCCACCCGCATGACCACCATTGCCTTCAAAATCTACTTTTATACTAGCAGGGGCTGCAATGTTAGTAACTATACCGATAGATACTGAATTTAGGAATAAAACGGATTAGCCAATTCTGATATATCGTCTGAAAGAGAAAACCTTTACATTCGAAAGCGAGATACCTTCGTCCTCGAGAATCGGCCCTTGCTCAATATGCAACTCTACAAATGCAGAGTAACTATCTTTCTTCAGAAACACACTGGATAAATCATCTTCACCTCTTGCATAACCAGCAGATCTTGCAGCTTCTAGAAACGATATGTTTTGACCATCAACCATCGTCTTTAAAGCTTCAGCAAGTGTTTCACCGCCTGCCAATAAACGGCTGCATGTTGACAAAACATATCAGAGACTTCAAACATAAGCCAAGAAGTAACCCCTAGCTATGAGACAATGTTGAAGTTCTACGTCACTCAGACCCATTTGTGAGTGCCAGATACATTTCCGACACAAGAATACTCATTGTCTATGCTTTTTTATGTATTTGGAGAGTACTTGGAGGCTCATGGCCACATACCCATATCTGAAAATGTGTCGATATAGGTGTTGGACATGAGTACTTCAAAAAAGTCGCAAAAGCATAGTTTGAGCAACATAAATCTTCAAAACTGGAAAGCCTACTATTCGGTCATGCTAAATTGCTAACCTTCCCAAACAGCCAATCCCGAAGCGTGTCGGCTCTTCAGAAGTAAATAAAATTATCTCTAATGACCTTTTAGGTTTGAACCCGGACCTGCAATAATCCCAATATAAAGATCATAGAAAAGGATAAACATTCATCGACATAAAGATTGTTCCGTTTTGCTAGTTAATGAATCAAATACTTCAAAAAGTGACCTGTAAATTAGGGTTGAAGAATGTAAAGGTAAAAATTCATATCAGTGAAAACTTTTAGACCTCTTTAGTGCATTGATGGCTTCTATTGCACCTAAAACACCAACAACGCCATCATATTTCCCAGAATATGGAATAGCATCGATGTGAGAACCTGTTGCCACTGCAGTAAGCTCCGGTTCATAGCCATCCCTGCATTGTAGAAAGCATTCAAAGAATTGAAACAAAGCAATGAACACATCATCTTCAAAAATGAAGGTCTTGATATTAATGTAAGCTTGAAGATTAAATGCAAATTCAAATACAGTGAGAGCAGTAGCAGGTATTGCAACAGTTACATAACAACAGCATGACGAAACTGTGTTAAGCAAAATCAATCATTGAGCTCTCAGCAAAAAACAAGAACAACCAGCTATTCTTCAAAATTGTATCGCCTCCATCATTGATAATTAACAACATGAAACTGGTACAAATCATCAACCTAGTGTAATGAATAACCAAGATAAAGCATATTTGACACTTGAACCATAATAGTTACATCCGTAGAGTGAATCAAACAAACAAATGAATAGAAAACACATGTACGTTCAAAATTTTCAAGTTTTTCCGGGTATTTGGAGGGTCCTTGGAAGGTTATATTTATATCCCATATCCATGTCCCCACATACATCAGGATATGAATAATTAAAAGAAAAACAATGAAGAGTTGGGAGTAACATCAATGACGTTTTAGAAATAATCAAGCATTCGAGTAATCAAACATCAATCAAGCATTCAAGGCAGCATTAAAATTATGAGAAATCAACAATAATGAGAACAATCTTAGTAAGATGGGAAAATCGACAATAGAAAATGAAGAACAAACCTACCACCGACCAAAAATGTTACCGACAGCATCCTCTCTCACGGAAAGCCCAGCAAGCCCCATTAAATTTTTTATGTACCTGTAATTAAATGTTGCAAGGAAATTCCATGAAAAACACAAAAGAAAAATTACTAGAGCTCACAGAGAACACACACGGGACAACATTGTTCCAAGTTCCTTTTAACTTCATTGAACCTGAACCGTATACATAGATCTAAAATGCAGTCGTTATGTAATGCAAAGGGCAGTGACCGTGAAACAATGGAAATTGTAATTTTTGCATCGCACTTTACCCATTATGTAACATCTAGGACACAACCAAATTCCTTATAACACCACAAATGCACATCCACAACTGCAATGCATAATATATGTTTATGACACCCAGAACTGTGAAATTGCACCTGCGTCAAGGATAAAATCTCCAATCGGAATTTAGGAATATAATTGTAAATACAACTTAAACTAAGTTCCCATTTTCCTCTCTCTTTTATTTGTTTCATAAAGAAAAATATAACTTTTCATTACAAGCTATATTACTCGAATTCATGTGTCAATGCTGATAAGGGTAGACGTTGGACAAAAAATGTTCGGATTTTTCAAAGTCTATATATTTGGAGGATCCTTGAGATAATATCTCTATATCCATAATAAATAAAACAAGAGCGTCAACCATTATTACTATAACAAAAATGAAGAGTTGGATCAACATCGATTAGAAACTAACATGCCTATTCATTACCTGCAATGTAAAATTCCACTCTTAATATGACTAAAACCCAATAAAACAAACACTACACCCAAAAAAATGACATAAATACACCACTGTTTCAAAATCATTACAATACTAAATTAGATAAATATACAAACACTATAAGAATACACGAATTACCTGCGAGCCAATACATCATTCTCAGTGTAGAGAATCCTAGTAACTGATGGGGCAGGGGTATCCGAGAAAGTTGATAGCTCATCAATCTACAGAAAACCCCATTTCACAAAATTAAGCCCTAAAACACACAAAAAAATCAAAAGATACGGGAGAAAATCAAGAGAACCTGCTTTTGGAGAGCTTGAGCATCAACTGAAAGTGGGCTTGAATCCGAAGCTGATGAACCAAAAGGATTAGATGGCTCATCAAGTGGGTACCCAGAGAAACCGTGCATGGTTTTGAGTGTTGGGTCGTCATTGTGTTGAGTTAAGATCAAAGGAGTGGAACAAAGGAGGAAGAGGAAGAACAGTGGGTACCTAGACATTTTTTTTGGCTTGGAATTTTCTTTAGTATTTTATAAGCTTGTTATAATTGATGCAAATCCGACGTTGATGATTTTTGTTGTTTCAGCAGATTAATTTAAACAAAAACTGACAATAACACAGAAAAAAAGAGAATTTAAACTCACCCATGAAATATAAACTAGACCACACGGGTTTTTATTGGTTACTAGAATAAGTTTAAAATAATGAGAAATTATATAAATTAGGTTAACAATGTTGTGAAGCTTTCGAGCTTTAAAATTTGCAAAAAAGCTCTTATTTTTGTTAACCTAATTAAGATTTTATATTTTATAATCTTGTTAATTCATTCATTTGATTAGTGTTGATTGTTAATTTTAAATGTTATTTTAAAATAATTTATAGGGTAAAGTATACTAATGATCACTAATGTTTTAGTGAGTTTTCGTTTTTTCCCACTGAAGTTTCAAAGGTAACAAATTGGTCACAATGTTATCGATGTGTAATAAAATGGTCACTCCACTATTATCTTCGTTAAATTGATGACATGTGTTGAACTATGTTTCAATATAACAATTTAAGGCAAAATGGTTTTTGGACTTGAATTGAATTTACAAAATGTATTTGGACTTAATTGAATTTATTCAAAATTTACAAAAATAATTCAAAGTTCTTTTAATTTAAAATTGAGCCAAAAATGTTTTTATGAATAGTAATTTACTATTTGAACAGTAAATTACTATTTGAACAGTAAATCACTGTTTGAACAGTATCCCGATGCTCAAAAATTCCAGTATGTAAAAGGGGAACCGATTCCCCCTATTCTGGGCATCCTATTTTTGCAGAAAAATCATTCTCAAACGGCTCCAAAACATCCCCAACGGCTAGATATGACTTCAAACACATTCCAAGCTATAAATACAAGCTAAAGACACTTGAAGAAGTAAGAGAACAACTATCCAAGCAATCAAACACAAGAGAAGAGTTTTTCATTCTTATTTCATCTTTCTCTTGTAAATATTTTGTTCTTGTGAGCTCAATCTTGTAAACACATACCTTAGAGAGGTTTTCTTGTTTACATCTTTTATCCTATTGTAAAGGGGAAAGGTTCTAGCTAATCCCGTGTAAAAGCTAGGGAAAGGTTCTAGTTTAGCTCGGAAAAACTAGGGAGTTTGTAAGGTTACTCTTTATCCTCAAAAGAAAGAACAAATTAGTGAATTTGTTGGAAAATCCTTGGTGAGGAGCTAAGGTAGTGGACGTAGACTTTGATTGAGAAAGTCGAACCACTATAAATCACTGTGCAATTCTCTATCTTTCAATCTCCTTACTCCCTAAACACAAAACTGTTCCGACCCCTCTTTGCAAATCGTTCCGGTTGTCGTTTCGAGCTTCCGAAAATTCTAACAACATGGTAACGTTAACAAAAAGATAAATATTTAGTTTTACCCCAAAACTATTACTAAAACATTAAATAGGTTCTTATTAAATCCAACTGTTATAGTTTCATCCCAAACTGTTAAAACATCAATTAGCGTCGTCGCTAATGCCCAAGCTCATCAACGATTATTGGAAACTCCAACAAAACTCCAAACTCTCAACATCATCAGAATGCAAACATTTTGAGATTTTGTTGTATGTTTAAGCGTGGATTTTGAATGAAAATGTTGAACCATTTCATCTTTGTCTCATCTTCTTTTCTTCTTCTTTTTCTTTCATAGCAAATGTCTAACTCAAAGTAAGTAACATGAGCTTCCTCCATGTTTCTCATAGGCTCTAATCTACCATTAACTATTTATGTTATCATCTTGTGTTAAGAAATCTTTGTCTTTCCTACTTAACTAAAGATAATAGTGGAAAAGCAACCAAATTATAAAGGATAATATGTCAGTTAGCTAAAGAGGATTCATTTTGAGATTTTCATACAAAGTTGTGTCTTTCTAATCTTTTTGTAGAGTATGAATCCATTAAATGTGATGTTTTGTTAAAAAATTTTGATATTTAAGCATGTTGGGGGTTCTTGCTATATTTACATCTTAGATGATGTTATTCATGTAAATCTTGTATTTTTATGATGCTAGATGACCCTAAATAATGTTCTTAAGCTTTATGACATAGTTTGGGGTTAAACTAAAGTGTTTGAGAGGGTTTTTGAGTGATTCTCGAACCTTATTATGGGTTTTCTAGATTTTAGTATCGATATTGTTTATATAGTATCGATCATATTCATGTAGAATTGTATTGTTCACTTCGAAGCATTATTTGGTATCGATACTCCTAGCTTGGTATCAATACCATTGAGATAGTATTGTTAATCCTCGTTGAGTAACTATACCATTTGGTGAAGAATCTATACTACCTAATGGAGTACTTGTACTATATGACTAAGTATCAATACTCTCAAACACCAAAAGATCATACACATCTCTTGTCACACCTGCTTGTTTATGGATTGCTATGAAATGTGCAACCAATCTGGAAGAGATCATAATTTATGAAATAACCAAAATATCCTTGGTGAGTACGAAACTTTAAAACACCCTAAAATGGATGCATAACGAATAATTATGGATGACAGATCTTTACGAAGGATATGCTTGCAACAAGATGACCTACCATGCGGATAATGTGCTAGAGGTAATGAATACCATGTGAATATTGATAAATCAATAACGTACAAGTTGTTAGAAATAATAGTGATGTAAAACAATTTCGTTAACATTAACTAGCAAATAAAAAATCAAATAATGAAAGAGATAGAACAATTTACTGTATCTTGGTAGGGAAGCCGCTGTCTTAGAAGCAATTTTGTCCGGATTGGTGTAATCGCGAAAGTGGAAGTTGCCCCAAGGTACACAGTCTTTCAAACTTCAGACACCCGAAGTAAGAAAGTGGAACCCACTTGTGTTGCCTTATTTGACAAGAATTTTTTTCCAATAGGAAACATCGAAACCATTAATTGTGTATAAAATTAGAGAGAGACATATCCCTTTTATAGGAGTGATAAAGGGGTAAAATTGTCAATTGTCAATTACCCACTCCAACCCCATCCTAAAAATAGATAACCAACTCCCTAAAAATATCCCTTAATATTTGCATTACTAACGATCCCATCAATGCAAATAAATAAAGAATTTTAAATATGAGAAAAGAGTAATAATGAAATTAGTCACTTAAGTAGTAGTGAAAGTATCTGGAACTAATACATGGTGGAATGAGCAATTCTTCTTTTAACAAGTTAACGAATCTGAACTTGTTAAAATAGGAGTAAACTCATAACACACGACTAACTTCTTCACCAAGTAAGTTTCGTAATAGATAAAAAAAATTAGCCTATATACCTTGATATGCTAGTAAGTGCACTAGAAAGACCATCCAAACTATTTTATAGAAGATGGCTAATTCTTCATACTTATGTAGGTGATTTCATCAAGTTTATCTCAATATAGACCACCCAAATCAGGGATATGAAATTATTAAGAGCATTAGAAAGCTTAACCTCTCAATTTTAAGATTCGATGAATTCATCAATTTTGTCTCACAATGACCACCCAAATCCTAGGATATGAATTCATCAAGAACATTTAATAGTTCATCCTTTCAATTCGGTGAGTTCAACATGTCTGTATCATAAGTACTACTCAAAACTTATATTATGAACTTATTCCATTAATTCCTCTACCAAATGGGCTTAAGACCAAATCCCCTCAACTCTTAAGTTAAGAGATTAATATAATCCTCTTTTATCCTCTCGTACTTCAACTTGAGTACTATCTCTTTATTTTACGAACTCATGTTTTCTCTTATCATCGTAGACTTGGTTTGAACCATTCACATGTTATCTCATGAATCACGTAAAAGCACAAAGGGGATAAATAATTTTCTCTCTTTAAGGATTCTTAACAAGATAGATTCCTAAGGTATTCAACCTCTTGCTTGACTAAATCAAGACTTATCATCTCATGTTTCACAGTAGAGCTACTAAAACAATTTTCAAAGCTTTCACAAAAGTTGATCTACTTAGATAAACATATACCCACTTGATTTCACATATATCATATATAATTTCTAGATTAATAGAATTGAAATTCTCTTAGATTCATGCAATTTAAATAGTCATTCTCATACTTCATTACACAAAATATGATATCATAGATTCATTTTAGATGCCCCTCATTCTATATCATTCATAGGGTAGAAAATTATTTCCAGCTACTCCAAATTCTAAATTAATAACATATAAGTCATGTAAATACTTTTCTTTCAATTTTACTCGTGTAATTTGGAGTAAATCATACTAGATTTTAAACATAAAATCATAATCACGCATATTTGTATTTCTCAAAATATAACATACTAATTAGTATGAATACTTTCAAATTATGAAATTTTTTAAAAACATTTGTCAATTGTGACTTTATCTCTTTAAAAAGAAATTTCAATTTATTCCTAATTCATCAAAAGATGAATCAATAATTAAGAATATTACGGATAGACATACTCTTCTCCTTTCTCAATTCTAGGAGTAGAATAATAAAATTTCGATAGGTTTATAGTAGCATTGTTGTCTATCGTTTATTAATACATATTAAACAAATATTGAGTTTGAAGAGATAGTTGACAGTTCAACTACTATGACCAAAAATCTTATCTTAATAAGACTATCAAATTCCACTTTTAACTTCTTCTCTAAGTTAAACATTTTATGAATTAAAATAGTGAGCATAGAAACGAACAATGCACCAGGTAGTTCTCGGATAGAGGTGGCGCACTAGGCACGCTTAAATACCAAGTCTTTCTCAGAACCAATCTTATACATGCATTATCTATCACACTACTTTTCAATCAAACATATATAAAGTTCTCATAACAATTTATGCTTAGTATTTTTTTATCCATACTTAAGCATACAAAATTAGGCTTCAACTAATAATTTAATTTGATCTTAAAGGCTTGTTCAATAATCAACACAATTATGTAATATAAAACACGAATTATCAATATAAAGGTGTCATAACAATTTATGCTTAGTATTTTTTATGCATACTTAATCATACAAATTTAAGCTTCAACTAATCATTTAATTTGATCTTAAAGATTTGTTCA